TCTAGTAAGACTCAAAGAATTATTTCATAGACAATTTCCTGACAACTGAGGAACTAGATACAGAAAGTGTACCTTAAATATGTTGAATTGTGTGAATTCTCTGCCCAAGGCTATTTTCCAGTGCTCCTTTTGATGTATAGCATGAATCATGGGATTGAGTAACATAGATTGAGAGGCTTGAGGAAGGTTGTTATGTAGCTCTGTAATTTAAGCTCTTACTAGCTAAAGAAATTTAGGCAGCCAATTAGTATTCCTAGAATATGACAACCTATGCATGGAAGTAAAGTTAAGTGTAAGAGTCTCTGAAAGGCATAAAGCCAGTGTCACTGAATTCAGGACAGGTGATTCTTTAAGATAGCATCTTAGAGAAGCAGATTCTTCCCACTGCGGGCTCTCAGTACTATGTATACCCATGGAAGGAGCCACCAGACACTGTTTTCCACCCTCCTGTATTCTCTGCCTTTTCTGGTTTGAAACTATTTCAGTTCTTCTCCATCACCTCCAACACCTTCATACTGTGTGTTTACTATTTCTTTAGCCAATGCAGCTAATCTAAAGTTGCTTCAACTTGTTTGAAAAGTGGAGTTAAGTGCAGTTTTTTCTAGAAGCTACTATTTCTTTAGCCAATGCAGCTAATCTAAAGTTGCTTCAACTTGTTTGAAAAGTGGAGTTAAGTGCAGTTGTTTCTAGAAGCTACTATTTCTTTAGCCAATGCAGCCAATCTAAAGTTGCTTCATCTTCTTTGAAAAGTGGAGGTAAGTGCGGTTGTTTCTAGAAGTTGTGTTGTATTCTGGTGCTGTTTGTCTTGAGGACATTGAGGTACATTTTAATGCCTGATGAGAACCTGAGGAATTGAAGTTATTACTTCTTTTGGAGAGGCATTGGGACAGATATGGTTTACAGACATAAATTCAAAATATAAATATAAATAAAAATAATAAATAAAAATCCAGACTAAAACCACAACCACCACAAATCCAAAACCAAAACAAACAAACAAAAAACTAAGAGCAGTCAAAGGAGAGGATGCTTTTTTAAGTCTCCTTGCTTGTTACAAATATCAAGGATTGATGTCTCAGTTTGTAAAGTTAAGATAGCTATTCTTCTGAACGTCAGCATATCATGCTAGATTAAGCTGTATAGAGCACAGGACCTTCCATTCTGAGCCATTTAGGGAACTGATTAAGATGTCTTGATGAATCTCAGTTCTGTTGTTGCTTCAGTTAGAGCTCTTGTCTTTGGTTTCATAAATTATGAATGTACTTGCCATCTATTGTACACAATAGATAAAAAATCATCAACACATTAGTTATGTGAATGTCTTCGTAATCTGAATGACATAAACAATATTAGATAGGTATCACTGCATTCAAAATGGAGAATATTTCAGTTGAAACATCAAGAACTTTCTATATTGTTAATGACACTGAATTTAGTACTAAAAGCAATAAATACTGAAGAGACATAGATGTCCAAGTCTCTAATTCCACAAAGGAAGCTACTTGATAGGCACACATAATTGTAGTTTACCAAAAAGGCATAAAATTATGAAAAAGTATAAAACTACTAAAAAGTCATTCTAAAGATAAACTACAATTAGAGTGTTTCTCAGTTAAAATATATTTTGCTTTAAACAATTCTTCACATCACACAGAAAATTAGTTCTTTTGTTTCTTACAAATGAATCATTTTAGATTCTTACCTTCTCATCCATAGACTATACAACTATTCTGTTTAGAGGGACAGGAAATTTCTTGATTGAAGCTTTAAGATAACTGTAGCATGGATGGAAAAATGACCAAGGAAGGAAGAGAGCATTAATTGCTCTAGTCATTAAGTAATTGATGAAGACTCACAATTATTTTCTTGTTAATGAAATATGAATCTACGATTTTTAATTTATTTTTAAATATTTGCCTGTATGTGCAAGAAAAATAACTCCATTGTAACCATTGACAATATATAGATCAATGTTAAACAAACCTAAACTATAAAGTCAATGAAATGGTTAAAATTATATAATATTTGATGGGATTGTGTTTTTTCACATAAATTACTTCAAAAGACCACAAGGTCCTCAGGTTAGTTATTCATTTTGTACATTTTTTAAAATAAAGAAGACGCCGGGCAGTGGTGGCGCATGCCTTTAATCCCAGCACTCGGGAGGCAGAGCCAGGCGGATCTCTGTGAGTTCGAGGCCAGCCTGGTCTGCAAAGCGAGTTCCAGGAAAGGCGCAAAGCTACACAGAGAAACCCTGTCTCGAAAAAACAAAACAAAACAAAACAAAAAAAATAAAGAAGACATTAATCATAATTTTGAAAGTTAGATATGAAAACTATTTTTCTTTATGGTTTCAGTTCTTGCCAGAGATCATACATTGCCAATAAATTTTTTTTTCACAATAAGTCCTGTTTAACTTTTTTTTAAAATTCCAATCACAGATCCCCCTCTTCCCTCCTCCAGCCCCTCCAGCCTCCCCCTACAACCCACCCCCTCATTCCCTCCTATGAGAAGTTAAGGCCTCCCATGGTGAGTCAGCAGAGCCTGGTATATTCAGTAGAGGCAATCCCCCCCCCCTCAAGACTGTGAGAGGTGTCCCACCATAAGTGTACTCCAAAAAGCCACCTCATGCACCAGGAATAGATCCTGATCCTACTGCCAGGGTGCCACTTAAGTAGAATAAGCTACACAACTGTTGCTTATTCAGAGGGCCTAGTCCAGTCCCGTGGCAGCTCCACAGGTGTTGGCCTAAATGTTATGAGTTCCCACTAGTTTGGATTGGTTGTTTTTGTAGGTTTCTCCATCAAGATCTTGATGCTCCTTGCTCATAGAATCCCTCTTCTTTCTCTTCTACTGGATTCCTGGAGCTCAGCCTGGTGTTGGGCTGTGGATCTCTGCATCTGCTTCCATCAGATACCGGAGAAAGACTCTATGGTGACAGTAGGGGTATTTACCAATCTGATCACTGGAATAAGCAAGTTCACGCACCTTCACCACTATTGTTAGTAGTCTAAGCTTGGGTCATCCTTGTGGATTCCTGGGAACTTCCCTAGCACCCCAAAATGAATAACTTGATTAGACATTTTCAATTTTTTTAAATACTAGAAAGAAGTAGCTCAGAAGATAAGAGCACTTATTGCTCTAGCAGAAAAACTGGGTTTCCCAGCACCCACACAGTGGCTGACAACTATCTCTAAACCTATTTTCAAGAAGTCAGTTTCAGCTTTTAGGAAGAAGGAACACACATAATATACATACACACGTGCAATAAAAGCATTAATGTGTCTCAGGATCCAGGCACATATATGGTGAATATACACACATGTAGGCAAAGCATTCATGCTTCTCAGGATCCAGGCACACAAACGGTGTACTTATACACATGCAGACTAAGTGACTATACAATAAAATTAAATAAATTTTAATTCATTTAAGCTAGTGAGAGAAAGATATCTTTCAGACTGGGTGACATGGATACAATTTCCAAGGATGCGGTGAACCAAACATACAAAGGTAAAGTAGTATCTGTCTCAGTTATAAGACTCTGCCTTAGACTAACCAGTTCATAGTTCTCACCATAGTCAGACTGGGTGATGTGATACAATTTCCAAGGATGCAGTGAACCAAACATACAAAGGAAAAGTAGTATCTGTCTCAGTTATAAGACTCTGCCTTAGACCAACCAGTTCATAGTTCTCACCATAGTCAGACTGGGTGATGTGATACAATTTCCAAGGATGCAGTGAACCAAACATACAAAGGTAAAGTAGTATCTGTCTCAGTTATAAGACTCTGCCTTAGACCAACCAGTTCATAGTTCTCACCATAGTGTGTGTACTGCAGGTACAGCAGGGATAAGAACACTGTGGATAAGTGGGCCTTCAAAAATATATTAAATTTCAGGTTGTATGATGATAATGACATTTTTATAAACAAAAGCTAGAAAAGTTTTTACTTTGAAAGTCTGTTCTAAAATTTCCCCCACTATAAAAGTAGACTTTATTTAAAGAAGTGGTATTTCATACTTCGATAGGATCATAAAAATTTCCAGGTCTGAAAGTAGGTTGAACAAAAAATGTCAAATATAGACTACCATCCATCCCTTTGTCTTAAAACCATACTATCCTGCTTTTGAAACTTTCCTGTTGCCTGAGAAAGTGGAATTTTTAGATGCATGATTATTAAAATATCTTAGTGGAGATGACAACTGTGATCTGATCCTACAAATTCTTGGCAATGATCACCAAAGTATCCTATATGTGAGGATATTTAGTTTGCAAACATGTACCATTAGATAATATAAAATATCCCTTCATTTGAATGTATTCTCAGAGCATATGAATAGTCTAAGGTATGCTTTTCAGAAGTAGAAAAAATAGACAATGAGATATTTAAAAGTCTATCAGGGAACATTCTTTTCTGTCTAAACATACCATTTTCAAAATATCGTGGAGAATGTTTTAAGATATTATCAGATTATTTGAGAGAACTGGAATTTTTGTTCTTCTTTTAATGGATCATATCTCAAAATGATTATAGTAATACTTATTAATGTAGATAATGTAACATTAATGGAAAATAAGAATTTTATAGAAAGTAAAGCCCAGGGAACTTTACATGACCACTTCCAACGATACTCAAAATTTTCTAAATAAAGAAAAATAAATAATAGATAAGTGATGCCCCACCAGAATGTCTGCCCATGAAACAATAAGATAAATAATAAAGGAAAGTGTACATTTCATTTTACATTAATTGAACTGCAAAATTAATCAGAACCATGCTAAAGTCAGTAAATGTGTGTGTGAAGAGTGTTGTGGAGATAGTGTCACTCTTATCATATTTTGTGACACTAATGAAGATCTTGGAATTGAAGACAGAGAGTAGGAACAACAGTTTAATAACGCAGATGTAGAATATATTTATGAGAAAGAAATACTTTTATTTTAAATAATCTATCATACCACTTGGTAAAACTAGTTCCTTTTTCTTTTGCAGAGGACACATTTCATGCTCTTTCCTTCTCGTTCATGAACCATGCAGCTGAATATTAATGTGACCAGTTTCCTTCTCCTTGGCTTGACACAGGACCCTAGGAGGAAGAACTTAGTGTTTGCCATTTTCCTGTTCTTTCATATAGGGACATTACTGGGTAACTTTCTCATCATTGCTACCATCAAGACAAGCCAGGCACTTGGGAGTCCAATGTACTTCTTCCTGTTCTATTTGTCCTTGTCTGACACCTGCTTCTCTACAACTGTAGCTCCTAGAACGATTGTGGATTCTCTGATGAAAGAGGCCTCTATCTCTTTCAGTGAGTGCATAATACAAGTCTTTACATTCCATTTATTTGGTTCCCTGGAGATCTTCATCCTCATCCTCATGGCTGTTGACCGCTATGTAGCCATCTGTAAGCCTCTGCACTACATGACCATCATGAACCGCCAGGTCTGTGGGATGCTGGTGGCCACAGTCTGTGTAGGATCGTGTGTGCATTCTTCAGTTCAGATATTTCTGGCCTTGAGTTTACCCTTCTGTGGTCCCAATGAAATCAATGACTACTTCTGTGACTTGCAGCCACTGTTGAAACTTGCCTGTTCAGACACATATGTGATCAACTTCTCCTGGTGGCCAATAGTGGGACCCTTTGCACAGTGAGTTTCCTCATGCTCATGGTCTCGTATGTCATCATTCTGTATTCCTTGAGAAACCACAGTGCTGAAGGGAGGAAAAAAGCCCTGTTCACTTGTGTCTCCCACATCATTGTAGTCATCTTGCTTTTTGTGCCTTGCATATTTATATACACACGTCCTGCAACCACCTTCCCTATGGACAAAATGATATCGGTGTTTTATACAATTCGTACACCCTTTCTCAACCCTCTGATTTACACACTGAGGAATGCAGAGGTAAAAAATGCCATGAGGAAGCTGTGGAGCAAAAAAGTCTCAGGTGACATATAAGGAATCAAAATTTGTATTTATTTTAATAAAGAAAATCTTAGTTTTCAGTTATATGTTTAGAATAGCACTGTTCTGGGAATGGAGGTTTGGTTTCTTCTAGAGAATGGGCAAACGGAGTGCATCCTGAAGTAAATATCAAATTATTTTATGGAAAAGAAGATGTAGCAAGGAGATGTGAGGATTTATCTCAGTCACATTGTTTTAAATGTTGATCTCTATTAGGTCCATGTTCTGGTCAAATATCTTATATTCAGAGCATTAGAATGTTTACCTTCTCTCAAATGATTTTCTTTATTACAGATTTTTTCTTTCTGATTGTGATTATGTTTCCTCATGTCACTTTTGTTCTTGTCTTCTTCAATCAAAGGAATGTAATGTATTTACAAATTTATAGAAGTTTTGTTTCAAGGTACAATATGAGTGTGTTGTATGTTTAACTGTGTGTGTGTTTGAGAGAGAGTAAATGTCTGTCTATGTGTGTGTGCACCTGTGTTAGAATGTTTTTCCTCTTCACATTGTCCGTATTCTTAACACCTAACTAGGGAATATCTTTATACTAATGCTATCATGATTGTTGTTATGGCTAGAATATGTGTGAATGTATCTGTCATTCTTAGACATCTGCCTGCCTGTCTATCTATCTATCTATCTATCTATCTATCTATCTATCTATCATCTATCTATATCATTATATAAAGAGAGATACATGCAAAATATATGTACATGTATATGTGTGTTAGATAATTTACCATTCAGTTTTGAGATTATATTCCATAGGTTTTTGTTTTGTGTATATGTCATTACTCAGAGCCTGTAATAACATTAGAACAAGTAGAGAGAACCCACACAGCAGAAACTCTCTGACATTAGGAAGATTCCACTTGTGGCTTTACTATCACTATATTTTTAAAATAATAATTGGACACTTATGAACTTGGGGGGAACAGTTCATCTTGAATCATAAGAATTATAATCACTCTTTTCTAATGCAAGATTAATATGATTATAGGATATTGTGGTTTGGATTTGAGTTAAGAGTGTCTGAGAACCACCTTGTGACTGTTAGGAATCAAATGCTGGCTCTTTATAAGATCAATGAGTGTTCATAACTGCTGAGCCATCTCTCTAGCCCAGCCACAGTTTGAATTTGAAATGTATCCTATAGGCTCATGTTTTGAATGCTCTGGATCAGGCTTCAGTATTGCATTGAAAACTTTGGAAACTGTGTTTTGTGGAACCTATAGGAAGTATATCATTTAGTTATGGACATTGAGTTTATAGATGTTTCTGCTTCCATTTCCAAGATCTTTGGCTCTGTCTGATACCATGTGAAAATACAGGCTCATGTTCCAGACTCTAAAGATAGAATTTCTTCTACTGCTATGCCTTCCATGCCTTATTGTAATGAAGGCTCTCTGAAACCATAGCCAAATTACCCTTTCCTTCTTAAAAATGCTTCTGTCAACATCCTGTCATAATAATAACAAAAATTGCTAATATAACTTATATATGTTCCTAACCCAGATATAAATATCTAAAATAGAATTTAATGGTGTAAGGAATTATGGTAGGAGATTGAAAAATAGATCAATATAATTGCATTGCATATTCTTCTTATTCTTAATACAGAAAGAGTTCTACCACAGGTATGAATGATTTTAGGGTTCCCAGTGTAAACAGGAGAGATTAGCTGGAGCAGATATTGAAGTATTGAATTAAAGGTATATTGTAGCAATGTGGATAGTGGTTTCTTTTTTGTTACTATACATCAACACAGCTGTCCATCATTGATACTGTGCCTATATACTTATGAAGACCATATATAGAAAGGGTCTACAAAGGCTGTAAGCATTCATAGTCATGGCTTTCAGGATTCAGATCTCAGAGGTATCAAAGAAGACATGAAGTATATTGGATATGCAGCCATTGCTTACTGTAGATGTAACCAACTGTCTTATTAAATAAGAAACACAGAGCCGATTCAGAGAAGAAAGCCAAGAGATCAGATCTAAGAGCCTCACCCTTCCTGATTCAGCGATCCTCTTCAGCCAAGAGAGCTCTCCGAAAAGGGGCCTACTACCTGTGTGTATATCTTTATGTAGTCTAGCTGTTCTGCCTTCTCATTGGTTGTAAACCCAAACACGTGACTGCCTTGTCACTGCCTGTATGTACCGCCCTCCAGGTCCTTAAAGGCGTGCGCCACTGCTGCCACGTACTTGCTATGGCTCTAACAGCTCTGACCCCCAGGCAACCTTATTTATTAACATACAATTAAAATCACATTTCAGTACAAATAAAATACCACCACATTTCCCCTTTTCTATTTTAATAAAACAGAAAAAAAGAAAAAGGTTATAACTAACAAAAGAAAAACTATATACAAAAGTACAATGACTATATACAATATATACAAGTAATAAATGTCTAAACAATGTCTAGTCCATTTGTATTTGACAAATTCAGAGAAAATAATTTCATTATCTATCCTATTTTGTTAAGTCCAAAATGTATCTAATTCACTTTCTATCCTAATTAATCTTCAACTTAACTAACTAACCTCCAACTATAACTAATCTTCAACTCCCTCAGAGACCCAAGAAGGAAATAATAGTAGCTAACAAAAATAAAAACAGAAAGTGCATGCAAGCAACTTCCAAAAAATTTGTGAGTTGACAGAAACAGCCAGCTGCCTGGACAGTCACCTGAGGTTTCTCTGCAATGCTGGGGCATCATCTTCAGCCTATAGGCTTAGCATATCTGACAGACTCATTTGTGAAGTAGGATGTACACAAGGTCAACAGTTCAACCTCACATTGGGTGAGAGCAGTCCATGTACCAGAAACACCTGAATTCCACTAGTGTCATGTTATGATTCAGGATTTTAAATTCTGGAAATTGTTGATGGTTTTTTAATTCAACTGTCCATTCTTCTTGGCTGTGTATATATGGCTTCATCTCAGCATCCCGTTCTTCTCCACATCCCTCTATCAAATGCCAGTCTACTATTGAGAGGCGTGAGCTTAGTTACTCTTCAAGAATAACTGTTTCAGCTGTTGTTCCATTGCACATCAGAAGCCATCGGCCTTCTGCCTGTTCAACTGCCTTCGAAGAAAAGGGCACTGTACCTTTTCTGAATTGCGAAGGCCACTTCAGGGATGGTGCCATATTGTCCTGGCCTCAGAAGATGCTTTTTGATAAAGCCATAACCACACTTGTTTTGGCAAGAATCAGTAGTCCTTTGTTTCATGTCCTGTCTGTCCATTTTGTCAGCAGTTGATTCGAGGATACTTTGTTGTCCAGTGGCTAACTTTTGCCACAATGAAAGTTAACTCCATATGCAGTTTCTTCAATGCCCATATTTTCTCTGAAGTAGATTGGTGCTGCCAGGAGCCGACATGTCTCATAATCATAACAAAAAAGAAAAATTTTCTAAGTTATTAAAACATTTTAAATGCCATATTCTGTAGATCTCTGAAGGGTTTGAAGACGACCTGTCTAAAATATATCTGTTCAATTTTTAAAACATATCTAATACGACTACAAGTTCTATTGTAATGTCTAACTACTAACTTTCATTTCTTTATATCCTAATAATTGGTAATAATAACATTCAAGGATCAGAAAATTGCATTGTTAAATGAACGGTATAAGTACAATTAGAAATATAGCATTTTCTAACAATATCAATTTCAATATATATATAATTTGTATACAATATAAAACAATCCAATCCAATGTAAAGTATTTAAAACTAGTAATTGTCTTTTTCTTCTTCTTTCTTTCTTTCTCTCTCTTTTTTTTAAACAAGAACCTTAAATCTAATCTCCTTTGCTTAGCCTTTTTCCTAACCTTTGACAACTTGTAACCAACCCCCCTAAACAATGAAAATTATCCCAGACCCAAAACCTATTAAAAAGACCAAAAAACCACCCGCCCCACACTACCTCTTTGGGAATGTGGGCGTCGTATTCTTAAAATTGCTTCCTGCTGGGTATGGGCGAAGTTATCTTTATCCTGAAAGAAAAATTTTAGGTTAATTGTCAAATTCTAGGAAAGGTAACTATATCCTTCATTATCCAGTCTGTGTATAATGCCAAAGTTCATGGTTTATCTCAAGTCCTTATTCAAGTAGTCTTAGAGACTGGATCATCTCAGCTAGTCATCTCAAAATTGCTCTGAGTACCTTGTAGTTCAAAGCTGATCTGTAGATGATGTTTGTCAGCTTAGCAATGTTATTATTGTCCACGTGGAATTGTTGTTGTTGTGGGGCCCCAACTTCTTCCTGGAGACTTCAGTTGATGTTAGGCCTGGCCATGATTTCCTGAAGAAAACTGATAAGAGACTCGAACACAAAGACATATATATGCAGCTAATTGAAACATTTTTTCTAGAATTAGTTAGTACTCTATATGACCATTCATTTCTTAACAGAGTTTAAAATGTATATATCTATATCTCTCTATATATTAATCTTGTAAATTTTGATATAAAATTTATACTTTAAGAAAAGTTTAAAGAATCAGAATAGAATCAAAGAGTTGAGATTAGTAATAGAATAGTCCCTTAATTAATTTGGCTTTTCTCCTGTCCCATAGCAGAAGATGGCTCTTTTCTTCTGGCATGATACAGGGAGTTTGCATTTTCCTTTTAACAACATGCTTGAGTTTAAAGAAGAAGAGAGCCATTCTCCAACTCCAAAGTCAGCTTTAAATTTTAATTGAATTGGGACTATTAGAAGACCAATAGTGTTAAATTTTTAGAGAAAAGCAGAAACAAACCTTTAGGAAGACATAAAATTTTTTAGATAATATATACCCATATGCCGTTTCACTCTGTTTCCTGGGATAGATGATTTGTCCCTTTTCTTCAGTTGTCTCATTTGTCCAGTGTTCTTCAGATTCCTTAACCTTTGTAGAGAGCTGTGTGAAGCTGCATTCTTGAGATGGCTCTGGCTTTCGCCCCCAGCCCTCCCAATGGCGAGTGCTCTCTATGTTAAACAA